TAAAAACACAAAATAATTAATAATTTTCATATTATTAATAATTTTATATTTTTATGAAATTCATAATGAAATTATATAATAACAATATAAATTATAATTTTATGGATTGTTCAATTTAATAACTAAATAATATTTTAAAAATATATTTAAATGTTATTAAAATAATAAAAATTAAAATATAAAAAACAAAATATTATTTAAATATTTCAATTTCAATAATTAAATAATTTAAATAACAAAATATTTAATATTATTTAATAAATTTTAAATGAAAAACTATTTAAATATTTTAAATATTACTTAAGTATTTAAATAATGAAATATTTAACATAACTAATATTTAAATAGTTAAAATAACGAAATTATGTAATAATAGTATAAATTCTAATTTTATGGATTATTAAATTAATAAATAATTATTATTTTAAAATTTAAATAATTCTATTCTTTAAATAATTAAATATTATTTTAAATAACTAATTTTTAAATACTTTACATATCAAAAAATTAATAACTAAATCATATCTTATATATTATTTCAAAAACAAAAAATTGGTTAAATAACAAAATTATGTTATAACTTTAAAAATTTATCAAATATGCAAAGATAATTATAATAGATTTAATAATATTTAATAATAAGAATATAAAATATAAATATTTTAAAAAATAACTCAATAATATTATAAGTAAGTAATTAATAATACTAAATCATATTTTAAACATTATTTAAAAAAATTTAGATTAAATAACAAAATTATGTTATAACTTCAAAAAACTTATCAAAAACACAAAATTAATTATAAGATTAAATAATATTCGATAATAAGAATATAAAATATAAATAGTTGAAAAAAAATTAAATATTATTTAAATACTGAAAGTAGATTAAATAACTTAGAGGTATTAAAGCTTTCCATTAGTTATTTATTATATTTTTGTTATAAATATATTTTCAATAATTGCGTATTTTTGCTATAAATTTTCAATAATTATTGGAGATTAAACTACTAATTTAGCTGAAATTAGGAGATTTCACTAGAGAGTTAAATTCAATTGCAGATTATTTAGTCTGGGAAACCGGTTTGGTCGGGTTGGGGAGTTGGTCATTCAAAACTGACCGACCATTAGTGAAAACTGACCAACTTGAGTTGTGTCAATCAATGCTTTAAAAACCAACCAGGAAACCGACCTGCTTTTGCATGTGGGTCGTGATCACTAGTTCAACCGTCTGAGTCGAATGGGTAAGACCATTCCACATCAACACTCTATATATTTAACTTTCGCTTAACAAAATATGTGCCTCACATGGGTCACCACTAGACCTGGAACCAAGGTTTGGTGATGGTTCAAACGGTTCAACCAGTCGGGTCAGTGGTGGGTTGAAAACATTGGTATCGATTTGGGTCAATTTTCAATTTGGTTGGTCAGTTCAAAAGATTTAAACTTAAAAAAATTAAATTTAGAAATTAAATTTAAAATATTATAATGATATTATTAAAAGAACAAATTTTAAATTTTAAATATAAAATATTCTAGACTAAGAAATATGCGAATTTTTCTACTTTCCTGTATTAAAAAGGGTAAAAGACTTTAACCTCCTTTAAAGCTTCTCTTAAAGACTAAAACTTCCCATTTCTTTTCAAATTGGACTTAGACCACACTTGTCAATGTTATGTCTACCGGAATCATCCAGAAGTCTCTTTTGCCCCTGTTAGTTCTTTAAATTTTCAGAATAAAGACATAAAAAACTAGAAATCGTATTCAAAAGAAACAAAAACTTGGTATGTATCAAATCCCAAACTATGTTCAAGAACAATAACAGAAAACAGAATCCCCAGTATTCATGGAGTTCATTGAACAACATTTTTGTTGCTAATTAAAAACTGTATGATTCACAATCGATTATAGAAGGGGGCGGGGGGRAATGAAACGTTAAATAAAGTAAAGAGTACCCTTGTCCTCATGCCCATGAATGATGCTTAAAAGGGATTGATTCCATGGGCAGGCCTCTGTCTTTCTAATATGTTACCGCCACGGACCAAACAGAACTGATCACTAAAATAAGAAAAGTAGCAGACACACTACGAGAGACCGAAAACTCGGAAACATTTAAAAAAAAAAAAGAACAAAACAAAGGAAAAATAGCAGGCTCCCCATTTGGAGCAAGATTTTTGTATTTGCAAAGCAGATCTTTAAGCTAGTGAGAGGAGCTCCAAAATTAATCACTTGTGACCTTCCCTCTGGATTGTCAACGGAGGGGACATTTTTGTAATGACGTCACCTAATAGGACTGGTCTAAGTCGATCTAAAAAGAGAGGGAAGATTTAAGTATTTAGGAGAGAAATGGAGGAAGGTTCGATTTTGGTTAGTTTACAAATGGCCAAACCAAAATTAATTTAATTTGGTCGGGTTGGAAAATTGCTGAACCGAAGTCAAATAGAAATACTAAAAAGTGATCAACTCATGTTGAGCTGGATCAGTTTGGTCAATTTCATCGGTTTGATAAACAACCCTATATGGAATTAATTATTGTTATTTTTGTATTGTAAAAAATATATTAAAAATAATGTATAAGATATAAATAATTATTAATTATTTAAAAATTAAAATGTAAAATAATTATCTACTCTTATCTATTTCTATTATTTAATTACCACTTAATAAAACCCATGCATCTCATAGTTCACCGCTAGTATATACTAAAGTAAAGCTTGCCATGTCAGCATCCCTCTCCTTACTCATTACTCAAGCCAAGCAATTCTGAAGGGGGTGCAAGATTCTCTCTAGCAGCCCATGGAGTTTCCACCTAGCATCGCAATCTCCTCTTTTTTGCCCCTTTAAATTAGGAAGAAAATCCACTAACTTTATTTTAGGAAGAAAACCCATTAACTTAGATATCTTTTCCTATAATCTCTCTCTAATCTTTTCTTATAATCTCTCCCAATCCACACAAATGGAAACTTGCCTAAAACCTAGCCCATCCATGTAGGAACGTGGCAGCTTTCTCTTCTTCATTAGAGTCCCATTCCAACTCTCTCTCTCTCTCTCTCTCTCATGTTCCCAAAATACTTAGTCAACCCCCTCCTAAAATTTCTCCTAAACTATCCCCATCTAAAATTCCTCCTAAAACAACTCTTAATCTATATCATATGCCCAATAAACCAACTAAAAAAAAAACAAGAAACGTGGTTAAATTAATTTGTGAAATATTTTTGATATTTTCAATAATTATTGATATTATTGAAGAATATTCAGTAAACATCGACACCTAAAATATACTTTTTCGTAATTAAAAATAACATGCTGAAAATTACTGATTTTGGTAATTTAATTTCAGAAATTTTTGAAAATTAATTATTTAAATCAATAATTACTGAAAAGTTGATAATTAATTAAATATTAATAAATACAAATTTATTAATTAAAAATTATCGGTAATTTTTCATTGAAAATTTTATTGTAATAAATATAAATATATTTTCTACATTTTCAGTCATTTTTGTCAATTTATTAATATTTAATGATATTATCAGATAATAATTAAAAATTTATAGTAATTTATTTTTAGTGGAAAAGTAATTTCAATAAATATAAATCTATTATTTATATTTTCAGTATTTAAAAATTATAAATAATTAGAAATTTTTAATAATTTTCATAAGTATTTGATACTACATTTATAATTACCATAATTATTGGAACTATATTTATTCTCTCCCCTTTCTAAACCAACTTTCCAATTATTTAAGAAACCTCATCTCCTAATTCCTAAATCCTCATAACTAACTTTTTTATACTCCTAATTAATCCCCACTTCCCCACTTCCCCACTTCTAATTAAGACACAACTCTCTCTCTCTCTCTCCACTTATGGATCGGGTATAGTTCGGTTTTCATTAACCCAACCCAGTTACGACCCATTTCTTTGAATGGTATATTAAAACTGGTTTATGATTAATAATTTCAATTTATTTTATTATAACTTATTCCAAAATTAATTAATTATTTTCATGGTTAATTAAAAAATCCCAAACAATATTACTATTTCTAAGAATTAATCATTTTTATTTTATTAATATTTTTAGGAATAATTATATTATTTTCAATAATTTACTAATAGTTTACCAACATTAATTAATTATTTTCAGGATTAATTACAAAATACCAAAATTCACTTAAAATCTATTATTTATATCCATGCTTTATTAAGAATTACCAAAATATATTACTTTTTTTAGTAATTAATATTAGCGATATATTACCAAAATTAATTAATTATCAATTATAATTAATTATTTTAAGAATATTAAAATTTAAAAATTAATAATTGTTTTCATGAATAATTAAATTAATTTTTTATTACTATTTTAATATTGGGATTAATTAAAACCTCCAAAGATTCAAGTAAAAATCTATTATTTATATATTCATCATTAATTCAGAATTACTAAAGTTGAATACCAAATTATATTACTGTTTTTAATAATTAATGTTAGTGACATATTACCAAAACAACTCGGTTCGAGTTGGCTCGAATTGGTTGATTTCATCACTTTGATGAACAACCTTAAATGAAATTAATTATTATTTTTGTATTATAAAAAATATTAAAATTATTATATAAAATATAAATAATTATTAATTCTTAAAAAAAATACAATATAAAACAATTATCTATTATTATATATTTATATTATTTAATTTTCGCTATATATATATATATATATATATTCTTTATTCCTCTAAGTGATGTCAGCGGCTAGAGGCTAGAGCTTAGCTTAGGCCCTGACCTGTGTTCTGGTATACGGTATAGTACCTGCTAGTTACCTACCATAGTACCATTCCCAGTCCCGTGGACTCCGTCTATTCATTGTGCTGGGCGTGTCTCATCATCCGACAGACAATATGGTTGATAGAATCATAGAAGATAAATCGTAGAATTGCAACTGATGAAGTCATAAAAACGCAGTTAATTGAAGTAAAAAAACAAAATACTCTTGCCCCCATGCAGGATCGAACTACATACTTTTAGTTTACAAGACTAACACTCTACCACTAAACTATGGAGGCAACGAATACATTTGGGTTACTTATCTATTCTCTTTCTTTATTAAATAAGGTAGTTAATACACTAGAAACTTACCTTATTTTTCTTTCTTTTGATGGATTGATTAAGGTGTTCTATTGTATTATCATCGCCATCATTGTTTCATTACAATTGTCTAGGACCAGTTTGGGCCTTGAGCTATTTGCCAAGGAATTAACCTTCCACATGGAAAATAGGTTTAAGGCCCAAAATGGCCTCATATCATATGTTCCTCTCACTCTCACTATCACTAGAAGAGCCTCTTTCGAGTAAATTATGGAGTTCAATTTCACTCTTTCCATGAAGAATGCAATGCAAGTATTCAGTCGTTGTGTCAATATTCTAATTATGTGTCCATCTTTGGGCGTTCGGAGGGACACTTACTACCATGGTTTTCAAAACCAGACTGGACCGGACGGTTGAACCGGAAAAATCGATAACCGGTCAGTCATCCGGTTCTAGTTTTACTAGAAACTGGAAAATAAAAAAAAAAACGTTGAAAAGTCAAAAAAACCATTAACCCGGGCGGTCAGACCGCTAAACTGTTCGACCCAGGCAGCGGTTCGCGGGTTAATATTTTTATTTTTAATGTTTTAAATAAAAAACAAAAAATAAAATACTCATTATATCCCAACTAATTCGAATCCTTATTCAGTTTTCCCTTTAGCTTTAGGGTTATTTCCCATTTTCCCGAGTTCTCTCCTCACTCCTCTCAACCCTCACACCCTACCGATCGATCACCTGCGGCGGCCATCACCTTTGGCATCCGACGGCGGTACACACCCGACGACGACCGACGAGCTTGCAGCGGCGAAAATTCACCCTCACCCCAACTCTTACAGCGGTGGACGGCGAGCTTGCAACAACACTCAACACTCAGCATTTGCATTGGCGAGCCCAAGCCCGACTTGCAGGCTTGCAGCGGCTGCGAATCCAATCAGCATTCAGCACTTGCAGGCTTGCAGCGACAACTTGCCTGCGACCAAGCCTGATTGCCTGAGCCCACCGGCGGCGAATCCACTATCACACCACCATTACCGGCACTCGGTAGTGAAACCCTGAAGCTATAATTTTTTTTTTAATTTTTTTTTGTGATTTAATTGATTTTTTTATTTATTTTTTGATTCATTTGGTTCATCAGCCCCTGTTTGTTCTTCATTTGGTTCATCATTTTTCTTTGGACCTGCTAGGCAGAGGCTTTTATTGAATACTTTATAGTTTATAATTAGGAGCARCTGACGATAAATTGATAGATTTACTAGCAGAAAATTGCTGCTTGTATTTTTGTATCAGTTTCTTGTTGATTATATGCCTTGTTGAACCCTCAAACTTCATTTGATGATCAGATGCTTAGTTCTTTGTTTAATTAATCTGGCTTAATTTGCTTTTAATTTTCATATGCATATTTTTCTTAATTTTCTTATGATGATCAGATGTTGAAATTTTTTCTTAAATTTTTGCAAGCAATTTACTCTCATTTCTAATGGAGTGATTTTACAGTTTGGTTAATTATTTGCTTAATTATTTTTTGTTTATATGGAGCGATTTTACATTTTGGTTGGTTCTTTTAGTCAATGCAAGGTTTTAAATTTTATATTTTGTGTTTGTATTAAGGGATTTATTTTTGAGTTGGGTTTCTTTGATTGAAATAAGATGATGGAATCTCAAAGTCCAAATGCTAATACATCTGATCCAGCTCCATCACAAGATTCCATTTCATCAAATGTTAGGGGAAAAACTGATTCTGCTTGGGAGCATGTTTCCTTTAAAGTTGACCCTCTTAATGGATCAAAGTCAATGACATGTCTTTATTGTCAAAAGACTATTGAAGGGGGAGGGATTAATAGGATGAAACAACATCTTGCCCAAAGGAAAGGTGAGATTGCAATTTGTCGTAAAGTACCCCATGATGTAAGGTTCAAAATGGAGCAATCGTTGAATGAAATCAATGACAAAAAAAGAAGTGAAAAGCAACCAATGAATTTTGTTGACACTAGAGCACAATGTGGAATGAATGATAATGATGATGATATTGAGATTAGAGAAATAGATCCACCTAGTACACATGATACCTATCAAGGGAAAAAACCAACTACATCATCGGGAAAGGGGAAAGCATTTTCAAGGCTAATAACTAGCCATTTTGCTCCACAGACCACTCCAGGTGCACAACCTGGAATTAAGAGTGTATTGGCATCTAAGGGAGCAATTAATCATGTGGACCATGCTGTTATGAAGTGGTTGTGTGATGCTTGTATTCCCTGGAATTAAGAGTGTATTTTCAACCTATGTTGGATGCCCTTGCTACTATTGGTCCAGGGTACAAAGCTCCTTCATATCATAATTGTAGGACCAATTTGTTGAAGAATTTAGTTCAGGAGGTGCAAATGTCAGTTGATAAACTCCGTAAGGATTGGGCTATATATGGTTGCACTATAATGTCTGACGGTTGGACAGATACGCGTAGTCGAACATTGATTAAGTTTTTAGTGTATTGTCCTACAGGATCTGCATTTGTGAAGTCTGTAAATGCTTCTGAAATAGTCAAGAGTGCAGAGAATTTATTTCTTTTGTTTAAGGAAGTTATTGATTAGGTAAAAGCAGAAAATGTTGTTCAGATGGTCACTGACAATGCTGCAAATTATGTAGCTGTAGGAAGATTGTTGGAAGTAGAATTTCCATGGATATGTTGGTCACCTTGTGTAATACATTGTCTAAATTTGATGTTAAAGGAAATTGGGGAAATGGATTATGTTGCAAATGTGGTTCAACGTGCATCTAGAATTACCAAATTTGTCTACAATCATATTTTTGTACTCTCAATGCTAAGGAAGAGACCTAGTTGGACTGAGATAGTACGCCCTAGAGCCACTCGTTTTGCAACTAATTTCATTGCATTGAATAGCATTTTGAAGCACATGCATGATTTGCAAAATTTGGTGACAGATCGGAGTTTTATTGATTCTAGGTATGCAAAAGATGCAAAGGGGAAGGAAGTAATACAAATAGTTTTGGATTCTGAATTTTGGGGACAATGCAAAATGATTGTGGGTTTCACATAACCTCTTGTTAGTGCATTGAGACTTGCAGATTCTGAGTTTAGGCATGCAATGGGGTATATCTATCATGCAATGTTGAAGGCAAAAGAATCACTGAAAAAATTTTTTAATTATAAGAAAGCTGAATATGGCCCAATCATGGACATTATTGATAGAAGATGTAGACAAATGGGTCAAAGGCTTCATCTTGTAGGGTATTATTTTAACCCGACCTTCCAATATGATCCAAAATCAAAAGTTAAATCCCCGGCCATTATGTCTGCAACTTTTGATGTCATTGAAAAGCTTGCAATCAAATCAGATGATGTGGAGATAAAGCTGAACAAAGAACTTACTCTTTTTGAAAATTGTCGTGGTAATTTTGGAAGACCTTTCTCAGTGAAGACATTTAAGTTAACGCCTCCAGGTAATAAATATTTTTTTCTTATAACATGTTTATTATTTCAATTTTCAATTTTATTTTATAAATTAAATTAACTCTATTTCATTGTATATAGGTGAATGGTGGTCGAGATTTTGTTGTGACACTTCAAATTTGAAAATGATTGTTGTACGGATCCTTAGGCAGATGTGTAGCTCATTTGGATGTGAACGCAATTTGACTGTTTTTGAACGTATACACACGAAGAGAAGGAATAGGTTAGAGCACCAGAGGCTCAATGACCTAGTATATGTTCATTGCAACCTGCATGTGATGGATAGGTAAGTGTCTTAACTTTTATGTTTCATGATTGCTTTTTTTTTTTAATGCTTGCATTGCATCTAATGTATCATTTATTGATTTGTAGGAGAAAAACTAAAAGTCTTGACCCAATTGGGCATGATCATGTTGATGTTGTAGAAGATTGGATAGTGCACGATGATGAGGATCCTCCATTACTTGATAGTAATGAGAAGGATGATATGTTTAAAGTTGATGAGACAACATTTCCAATAATGGAATCACCATCAAGAAAAAGAGCTAGGACTGATGGTAACTATCATTGATATTATCTCAAATGAAATTTCCATACTTGATTATTTTAGCTATTTTTTGAGTTCTAATTTTCTATTTTCGTTCTTTAGATGATGAATTTTTCATTGAGCAATGGGGAATCATGGAGGAAAATGCAGCCAATACCTAAGTTGGAGATGTAGATGAAACACAACCTCCCGAAGATGAAGATGAAGATGATGGTGAAATACCACGTGGCTTTGGTTGGTAGTTGGTACCATTGAGAAGTGGGGCAACATATCTAGAGAATCCGGATGATTAGATTAGTGAACCAAACTCTATGTTGAACTTGAAGTTTTGATTTGTGTTTAATACTTGGTGAACTTGGTTTTTAATGTTTTTGTTACTTGTGTTTATGATCTTTTTATTTTTGAATATCTAAGTATTATGTTTGATGAATTAAGAATGCACGATGTTATAGCAATATGTATAGAATCTTTAGCAAAATTTCTTTTCTTGTCTTCTTAGTGTTTTTGAACAGGGAGTCCAGAGGAAACTCTGAAAGACTTGACCATCTAAAGGGGTCCATTTCCATAAGTTGAAAGAAAGTACTCCTTTTATAGTTTGCATTGCTTATGGCCTGGTAGAAGTTTTTCTTACCTTTTTCTTTGTATATTTGGAATACAGGTTAAAAGGGCTTGTCAGAAACTCAAAGAAAGTAGAAGTTGAAAGCCTGAAATAGCTAATGGTAAGGTGCATTGAGCTGTTATAATGGGTATTTCTCAAGGAATGATTTTGTTTCTCAATTATAAGTTATAAATTTTTCTGTTAATTAAAAATTTTATTTATCTAACTAATGGTAAGGTGCATTGAGTTGTTATAATGGGTATTTTCTAATAAGTAGGGGGAAGAAGACTTGACGGAAAAATAGAAGAAGAAGAAGAGGAAGAACATGTGTTTGTAATGACTGATGAATGGATGGAATTCTTTGCAAAATCTAAAGCAAAAATGAGACAAGGTGGTTGTTCAACCCTCTTCTTGAATGAGTTCTTGGCAATTAGTCAGTAGCAATTCTGTCCTTAAAGACCTTCATATATATGTAGGTTGTGGTGTTTGGTTGCAGTTATAAGTATATTACTAATATTTATTAAACTACCCATTTATTGAAGAATGTACAGAACTGCAGATCTTTTGGAAATACAGATCTGTATAGAACTACAGATTATTAGACTACCCCAAGGCAAGATGGATCCAAGCTGCCTTGCATTAGGGCCTTGGGTTTTTGGTTATTAGACTACATATCTTTTGGCATGGATGCTTCAGGTAGGCCAAAGGGTCTAAGTACTACAGTTGGAAATTTTTTTAATTTTTTCTATATTTTTGGAATTTTCTATATTTTCTTGGAAAATTTTCTATATTTTTTGGAATTTTTTCTATATTTTTTGGAATTTTTTCTGTATTTTTTGTATTTTATTATTTTTATATTTAGATAATTTTATTTTTTCATTTATTGTTCTTTTTCTTGTATTTTTTGTTTTTTATTTAAATTTCTATGGTCTTTTTATTATATATAAGTATTTTTTTATTTTTTTATTTATTTATGACATCATGGGTCGAACCGTTCGACCCGAACGGTTGAACCACCAAACCAGAAAATGGTGCCCTGACCGGTTCGATCACCGGTTCGGTTCTGAAAACCATGCTTACGACGTCCTTCAGGCTTCAACCACTGATGATATTTTCAAGTAAAAGTTGGGGGTTCGGGGATTGATGTTAATTATGACCATCAAAAAGAGATGTGAATATGTGTTATTTTATATTTTATACTAGCAATGACCCATGCGATGTACGGGATTTATTAAGCAAAAGCTAAATAATAGAAAGGGTCATCTACTAAAATATTCCTTATAGTTTCATGGATTTACTAAAATCTACCCTATAGTTAGCATCTTACTAAAACACCACTTATAATTTGTAATGGATTTGATCAATCTTTTATTAGATGGTAGTGGAAAATGACAATGTTGACCCTAATGTTCATTTAAATAAACTTAATCAAAAGAAAATAAAAATAAAATACCATTTTTGCCCTTAATAGGACACGGGCAACCACTCTGATGGTTATATTTGGTCAATTTTGTTTTCTATACAAAAAAAGTGCTAAGGGAATTTTTACAATAAAAAATCATGGGCCTAATGACAAAACAAATACTCCTTAATGAAAGGTTGATTAAGTAAATAAGTTGTAAAATATATGGGATGTTTTAGTAAAATGAAAACTATAAGGTAGGTTTAAGTAAATATGTAAAACTATAAGGTGTGTAGGAATGGCAACAGGGCATGGATTATATTCCCCGTCCCTGATTCTGATTTTGAAATTAACCCCCATCCCCGATCCCCGACGGGGATGGGTTCCCTATGGGGACTTGAATCCCCAAAATGTTTTTAGATAATAGTATTTTTTTTAAAATAAATAAAAATTTTAAATTATAAATAATTTTTAAATATGTTTTGTTATATATAACATAAATAATATAATAGTATATTTAATGTAAATAACATTTATATATATAGAGAGAGAGAGAGAGAGATAATCGGGGTCGGGTTGGGGTGGGGACCTCAATCCTCATCCCCAACCCCAACCCCGATCGGGGATTCCTAATTTCTTATTAATCCCCGTCCCCGCCACCACCCCACCAAAACAATCACCATTCCCAACCCCATCGAGTCGGGGAAGTCAGATCCCCGTCGGGGATGGGGAAAATTGCCATCCCTAAAGGAGTGTTCTAGTAAATGACCCTAATAGAAACACATAAGAGTATACAATTGTTTTATATTTTCAACTTTTTAAATAATTAATAATTGTTCATATTTTATATACTACTTTTAATAAAATTTTAATAATATAAAAATAACAATAATTAATTTTAGTTAGGTTTATTCATCAAACTGATGAAACCGACCAACCCGATTAACTCAACCCGAGTTGGTCTATTTTCTAGTATTTTAGGTTGGCTTTGGTTAAAAAATTTCCCAATTTGACCATGTTGGATCAATCACTTTGCCCATTTGTAAATTGACCAAAACCGAACAACCTAACCATGGATATATATTAATATTTTATATTTTAAATATAATTTTTAATATGAAAATTGGGAAATTTCCCATATTTCTTAGTCTAAAATGTTTTATATCATAAGTCTAATTTTTAAATTTATTTTTAATAATTGCACTATAATTTTTAAAATTTAATTTAATTTTTAAGTTTAAATCTTTTAAACCGACTAACCAAATTAAAAAATCGACCAAAATCAATACAACTTGAGTGAGTCGGTTTTCACAAAAGGTTAGTCGGTTTCAATTGACCAACTCCCTAACTTAACCAGGTTAATTTGGTTGGCCAAATAGCCTATGAACAAACCGAACCAACTCATGAACACTCATAATTTCAGCTAAATTAATAGTATCATTTCTGATAAATAACAATAGTTTAATCTCCAATAATTATTGAAAATTTATAGCAAAAATACGCAATTATTGAAAATATATTGATAATGAAAATACAACAATTATAGAATTTACAAAAATACAATAAGTACTAAAAAATTATTAACTTAGTCAACAAATAGTAAAATCTCAAATAATAGTTTAATCTCTAACAAATATTAATCAACAACTTATAACAAAAATACAATAAATACAATAAATATAATAAATTAAATTTAAAACTTTCCACAATAGTAATTTAATCTCCAATAATTATTGAAAATTTTCTATTAAATAACAAAACAAAAGAATTTAAACATAATCATTGAAAATACATTTATCACAAAAAACAATAAATATTAATTTTAGTATATAAAATTATATAATAAATAGAGATTAAGAGTTTAAAATTATCATTAATAAATATTAATATTTTTGAAAGTTATTTTCTTTAATTATTACTTGATATAAGTGAAATTAATTATTTACAATATATGTAAAAATATTAAATTATTATTAATTTCAATATTATGTTATAATTATTTTTCTACTTTTTAGATTTTTAATTTATTACATAATTTTTTAATTTAAATATTTAAAATCTAGTTATGTTAAATATTTAGTTTTTTAAAATATTTAGTTATTTTAATACTTGAATAATATGTTAAATATTTAAATTTTAAAACATTAATTATTTATTGAATTTAATTATCCATAAAATCATAATTTATACTATTATTAAATGATTTAATTATTAATTTTATAATATATTAAATTATTATTAATTTAAATATTTTGTTATAATTATTCCTCTACTTTGAAGAATTTTTTAAATTTATTACATAATTTCGTTATTTTAACTATTTAAAATATTGTTATGATAAATATTTAGTTATTTAAATATTCAAATAATCTATAAAATATTTAATTTTTTTGTTACTTCAATTTTATTTATTTAAAGCTATTACATATTATTAAATATTTGAAAAAACATTTAAATTGATAATCCAAAAAAACATAATTTAAATTGTTAGTACATAATTTCGTGATATATTTTGTAAAAATATAAAATTATTTTTTGTGTTTTTAACAAATATTTTAAAGTTATTATATAATTTTGTTAGAATATTTAAATAATTCTTAAATTTTTAAGAATAGGAATTAGAGATAATTTAGAAGATAAATATGAAATAGAGATAATTTTGGAGAAAGTGGGGGATAGTGGGAGAGGTAGTTTAGGAGAAGAGATTATTTTGGTTATTAGGAAAGTGCATCTCATTGGTTCTTTAAAAAATGACAGTGAATAAAAAAATAAAAAATTCAAAAAAGGAGAAAATTTCTTGACCACTTTGTTTTAATATATACTAACAGGGACTTATGCGATGCACAAGAAAATCTGAAAGATTTAATAATTTTATTTTTCATTTAATGTTGATTTTTAAAAAATAATTATTGTTAATTGAATATGAACAAATAGTTTTTAATAAATTTAGTTTTATTAATAATTATCTTAGTGGGGACCTATGCAATGCACAGGATTTATTAAGCAAAAGATAAATAATAGAAAGGGTCATTTACTAAAATACCCTTATAATTTCATGGATTTACTAAAAATTTACCTTGTAGTTAGCATTGTACTAAAGCACCACTTATAATTTGCAATGGATTTAATTATTCTTCCATTAGATGATTGTGGAAAATGAC